ACATGTTTATATGTATGTATACATATATATATATATATATGTATATATATATAGATTATCTTGTGTATATATATATATATATATTTATACAAGTTATATATATATATATACATACATATATATATATAGATAGGCATGTATCTGCATCAGTTTCAGTCGATTATTTACGTATTTGCGCAGTATTTGTATGGACGGATGGATGCATGGATGGGTTAATGGATGGGATGGATAGATGGATAGATGCATTGATTGATCGATGTCGATACATCGATAGTTAGATAGACAAGTGCTTACATCCGTAAGGCTTTAAAAAGGGTCATAACGCTTGCTTGCGCTTTAGGCGTGTAGGGGTTTCGGGGCTCGGGCTTCGGGTGTTTGGATGTAGGGCTTTAGTACGGATTGGCTTTAGGCTTTTAAGTTTGAGGTTTATGGAAGTTAGGGGTTTCATGACGGTTTAGGGTCTAGGGTTCAAGGTATGGCGGTTTTTGCAAGGCCTGTCCCAGGGCTTAGATGCTTGCTATGGCTTTTGGAGGTGCTGATAAGGGTCTTCTGGATTCCTTTCTTAGGGTTTGGGGCTCGGGGTTCAGGGCTTAAAATTCAGGGTGTGGTATTTTGTGAAAGGCGTCTGACCGAGACTCAGAGAATTTAGTGAATTTGAGTCTATCAAGAATGTGGGGTTTGAGTTTGTATAGGGTGCAGTGCTGTAATCACGTGGTGCTCGTATCCAGCTTATCAGCTTATCCTACTGCCGCTCAGTCAACACTGCCACGAAGAAATCCTGGTGCGCTCAAGTCCATGGTCCAAGGCCAAAATTCACCAAAACCAGCGCAACCCGACACTCCGAAGCAAGGCTACAACAACGTCCTGGCCGCTCGCGCTGACGTGCCAAGCCCAGCATGCTCTACGAATAAGGCGGACGCAAATAGTAGCCCTAAGCCCAAAACCTTTGGATCCTTGTGCGCGCTGCATTTGTCACTCTATCCACAGGATGACATGGTTGGTAATGTAGGAACCTGATTAAGAAACCCTAGCTCCATAAGCCTCCAAATAGTAGGATTCATATAAGGAACCCCAGAGAAGGCCGAGGGTTTCTTAATCAGGTTCCTATTACCTAGACCCCGAAACTACCCTCGATTATCCCCCCCAATACTCACTATTAAGGATCATAAGGTCTCTATTAAAGGGCCATTGAGGGGTCCTGGTAGGAGTCTGAGTCCTGAACCTTTCGCTGAGTCCCTTCTCGCCCCTGCCGCCTCAGGCACGGTGTGCTGAGACCATGGGCCCCGCGGAGGCCCACCGGCTTCGATCTTGCGTTTAAAGAATCATAAGGATCTACCTATAATCTCCATTGTTGTTCCTTTTTTGGTTTAACCAGTTATATATTAGGGATTTTATAAGGTATCCCCAAAAAGGAACTACAATGGAGTCTGCAGGTAATTGGGATTTAGGGTGTAGGGTTTAGGGTTGCGGAGTTTTGTGTTCAGAGGTTTAGGGTGCTTGTGACACTTAGATTCTAAAATGTATTGCAACTGTTTGATGCTTTGTGGCAAGTGGAGACTCTCTGGTAAAGACATGTACATCTATTTTAAACACAAATCTGTGTATATACACGCATGTGTAGATAGGTAGAGGTATGCACACACAATAGAGGCGGTAGGATATTAGGGTGTGGGGACAAAGTGGTCGGGATTCGGACGTCTGGAAGTTGAAGGTCTCTTGGTACTACCACTGCCATTGCTACTCCCTGCTCCTCCCCCTCCTCCTGCGCGGGGTTATTGAGGCTACTGTCTATGTATATGATCGTCGCTGGCAGTGCCTGTTGTGGTGACTGCCATTTTCTGTTGTTCACTTCATAATCACTCATGACTCGTCACCACTATCTTTGGAAGCAGTCGTCGCAGTGATGACTGTTCCTGCTTTCGCTACTATTACGAGATCCGTGCTGTTTACTGATAACATCACGTCTGCTGGGCTGGTCTCAAGTAGGATTGCTGCCATTTGTCCGATATCAATGCACTTCTGACTCTCGGGCCCGAAAGACCGCATAACCCCTACTCCGTAGAACCCGAACGCAAGAGTCCTGAACCAGGAACGGAAAAGACGTGATAGAAGTAGACTACAACGACTGCACCCTAAATCGTCAACCCCCGATCAGGCCTGGTACCAGACAATGCTGGACCACGGTGTCCAGCCCAACAAGGTGACACGCAACACGCCCCTGCCTCGGGCTTCGGAAAGTGTTTTAGGGATTGAAGGTGTAGGAGGTTAGGAGGGCAGCAACCAAAGCGCGAGAACTGCTACGATAGATGGTGTGGTTGTTGTTGTTTCCGTTCGTTACTGGTCATCGATCTAACTTCAGCATGATGTACCCCAAGACCCTGTTCTAAATATTGTGGTCCCTATATGGGAGTTTCCGAGAATTGGGGGTGCCTTATTTTGGGGTCCTTATAATAAGGATCCTACTATTTAGGGTACTATATCAGGGTCCCCTATTTTCGGAAACCCCTATATCACAGTCAGCCTCTATATCTCCTTCACGTGACTCAGAGCAAGCTCAGGGATTCGGTTTAGGGGCTTCTCATTTCGGTATAGGGTTGCCTTCAATCCGAAGGCTTACCCTACACCCTAGGCCCTAAACCCTAACCCCTAAACTCTAATCCCTAAACCTTAACCACGAAATCCTAGAGCCTACCCCCAGGCTGGGGGCGAGGATTTGAGGTTCTTGTCATTCGGCGCCTGTGCTTCAGGTTCATGGAACTTTGTTGCTAGCCTAAGCCCTAAACCCCTAAACCCTAAACCCCTAAACCCCTAAACCCCTAACCCCTAAACCCCTAAACCCTTATAAACCCAAAGCCAAGGACAAGCCGAGGGTTCATGAGTTTACCTGCCCCCAGGGAGCTCTCGGGCCGTATGTTACCATGGGTAGTTCTCTTCAACTAGGATCCCCCTGTTAGGTCCCAATATAGTACAGCACCCTTATGAAAGGACTGGGTCCCCCAAGAAAAGTACGGCACCCTTTTAAAAAGGACCTTGGAAAGGGACCCGAATTTAGAGAACT